GTAGGTTAGGGTATGCATTTTAACAAAATAGGGAGTAGGGACTTTGAGGCTAAAAACAGGAGGGAACAAAATAATTTTTTTAGGGGGGTAGGGAAGACAGTTTGTGTGAGAATAGGGAGGGGTAAGGAGGAGGGGGTGCTTGTTACAGAGGGAGGATAGTGGTCATGATGGATGAGCAAACACGTTAAGTGAGGAACATTATTTAGAAAAAAAGTAAAAGTAAATAGTGCTTAGAAGAAGGTAATTCCAGGAGAAAGACCCTTTGGAATAAATTCAGAAAAAATAATTTCTGACCTCATTGGGATCTACTTTCCTTCTTTTTTGAATCATGTTTCTCACTGTGCTATGTGGTCGTAGTATTCATATCTTGATTATAATTACATTCTAATGACCGCAACCTAACATCATCTATTTCTACACCCTTATTTACCTACTAAATACACTATACCGAAAGTAAATACTGAACGATATAAGAACACCTTCTCAAATAGAATTCTTTTAAACATTTAATATATAATATATAGTTAATATGGATTTTAGCAGCTTTTCTTAACCATGTTCTATTGTATTGTTCTTTTAGATACCATTATCTGTATTTTTATATGTATTTTTATCCTTGCTTAATAAAGATTATTATTATTTTATTATTATTTCACACTGACTTGCTCACAGTCTGGCATTGTAGCTCAGCTGGTAGAGTATCAGTAGTACAAATCCAAGAGTCATGTGTTCCAATCCCAGCGAGGTCAGAAATTAATTTTTCCGAATTTATTTCCAGGACTTTTTCTCCTGGGATATCTCCTTCTAAGCACAATGACTTTCATTCATTTATAATTTCATGTTTATTATCATTAGTGCCATGCAGTCCTTGTATTCATGAAAGAAATATTTTGCTATCTTGATCCAAGGTGGTGTTAATGTGTGTCATGACTAATGTCCAGCCATGTACAGCAAGGAATATAACAACTTGACCCTGTACTAGTATTTCTCTGATTGAATCTCTTCATTAACATCATAGTTGGCAATGATAAACCTTGTATAGTTGTACTTCAATGAAAAACAAAGGTACTATTTCTCGTATTTATTTGATATCATTACAGTTTTATCAGGCTTTCCTCCTCGGGAAATTAATTCTCAAGCCAAATCGGCAGAGTTATCATCCCTGGGCATCAGATCTGGCGACACATTGATTGTAGAAGTGAATAAAATGGCACCAAAAGTTCTTAGTCACACAATTCTAACACAAGAGTACAGTGACACCCCTTTGTCACGAAAGTGAGTATG